CACACACACACACACACACACACACACACACACACACACACACACACACACATTTATTCTTTTCTTTTCCTTCTTTCTAATGTCTATTTTTATAATTTGAGTTAGCACAGTGCTAGAGATAGTTTCGCCTTTCCTCCAAAAGCCGATAACCAATTTCCGAGCATTTATGCAAGAACTTCCGGAAGGGAGAGCAATCGTTATTTACATTCGGACTAATGCCATTATCTTTGTTGTTATCATAACCCTTCGGCTCTTATACTCTTTGGCCTTCGTCAGGGTAACCTTCAGGCAATTTAAAAACTGAATCATTTATTTAATCTGTGATGGCAAATAGTTTTCGTTCGGCGTTCCATGTTTAGGAATATCACGTTTGGTTTCCAAGGGACAATAGTATATAGCATTAAAACGTCAGTTCATGAATTTGGTGGTAAAGTAATTGTGAATTCAATCTCTAGGCCGGATGATCCAAACTCACCGGAAACAGAGCTAGCAATAACTGAGTGGTACTAAAAAGAGGAGACATGGCTCTCCACAATTTCCTATCCTTTTTAGCTCTAAGTGCTTCTTTACTATCACTTTCAGTTCTCGTTTTGCCATCGATTTACACAAGCTCCTTAGGTAAGATATTCGCTGTTTCCATCTATCCCTCTTGCCTTCAATATGACCTGGGAGTGTCAAATTCTCCAAGTCTTCTTTCCTCATTATATAACCCAGAAAAAAATCATAGTCCTTTTGATTCGATTTTTCTTGCAACTTTCCCGTTACACACATTCTCCGTCCATTGTATTCTCAGCATCCTTATGTAGAAACTGCATATCTTTGCTCAAAGGCATCTGTGAGGAATTTTATCTCCATTCAGTGTCATATAGGATAATTGATATTATATAGTAATCCAGTACTATTTTCTTTGTTTCTCACGAAAATTCCCCGTTTCTTCATACATTGTTTAGCTTTTGGAAGGCATCTTTCTCTACTCCAACCCGTCTTCGGATTTCTGCGTCACATAACTATCAAAAAGTGAAAAAACTCCAAGGAGTAAAAGGTCAGTAACAAGAGATGGTGTCTCAATAAATTCATCGTAGTCAAGGCAACGGGAAACCATCTAATTATTATTACCAGTTCAAATCATAGCTGACTGAAACCAAGCATTTTAAATTTCCACATCTCTGCTGTACAAACATAGCTAAAAATCTTGTTAATCTATTAGTCACTGCTAATATAGGTGTCTCATTATTAAGGTTATAATAGCAGGCTATACAATGACTCGAACCCACTAAAAATCGTCTAGCCGACGTAATAGATAAACATTATTCTATTGAAGTTAAGTTATTATATATATATATATATATATATATATATATATATATATATAAATAAAGCGTGCCTCATTGTTTTCCGTCTTTAAAAGAATGAGCAAGGTTAATATATGATGGCGTGTAAACAATAGTGAAAGAAATTGATCTGTTATCATGTTTAATTTCAAGAGGAACAAATCAACATTTATGTCTCCTTGGTTGAATATCTAAGCTTTGAGTAGAACGCGAGACATCGTTTGACGTGACTGATTCTCAAAGCGAAATGCTCCAGTTGAGTCTAAAGTATTCTAAAGTGAAACTTTCTATGCCATTATTTTCAATCTCTTTCATACTCTACCTGTTTATTAATTCAACTATTTATTGTCATCTCAAGTACACAAATCTTTACCAATTCCAGTAAGTGCAAAGGTAAAACTATGGTTACTCGATGTTGCCTGGAATTTGGTAATTTTCCTAAATGATTACTTTCTTAATGGGTATTATTTTTGCCGCTCATTTAACAAAGTAAATTTCTTAGAATTGATAACGTTGGGCGTTATGGTGTACCCATTGATTGATTCGTTGTCTACGGCTTATAAAAAAATTGCAGGTTATTTAAATCTAGAAAATATTTTTAATATTTATCTATATTTCTGAGATGAGGTATTATATACATTATTTACATTATTCGGACTATTCGCGACAAAGATGACAATAGTCCGAATAATGTAAATAATGAAAATATTTTTGGTTAGTAAGAATTTTTCTTTTTAGATTATGATGGTTTAACGATGCAAGATTTACTAATTAACTCATAGCTGGTGGGCAGAGAAGAGCTGGATTCATACATTTCCCAAGAATTTTTGCACGTAAGTAAATATAACGAGGTCAACGGGACTTGAAACTCGGCTCTCCGATTCAAAATTCAGAGCCATTATCCATTAAACCACCCGCACATGCAAGCTTACAGCACTTGGTATTCCTAAGAGTTCATCTGTCTAATGTTGTTTAACGATGTTGCTTAACTTCGATGATCGTACGGGAACCGGTGTTTCAACATGATATGTCTGGCTGCCCCATTGAAGATTGAATTAACTCTTAATGTTTAGTAAGACCAACTTGCAAACCATTACACTACGATAAAGTGCTCTCACGCATCTAATATCTAAAGCTCAAAAGTTGTGCGTATGTATCCACTAGAAACTCTGATGATTAATTAAATATATTTCAATATATATTTCAATATAAAGTTTTTTATTCATCTCTGTGTGTGCAAATATTACGAAAAAATTGTGATATCAAGTAAATATTGTTTTATAATATTATCTGATAGCATGTACTTTATATCTTGTCCACCCTATTAGTTCTTGCTTAATGGAGATAACTAGTTAACATATTTAGCTTTCAGAACAATTAAAAAAAACAAATATATTTTCTTATACGTTTTCAATCTGTTTTGTGTAATCTTTATAAATACGCAATTTATTATAGTTGGCTTTAATAACTGAATTAAAATGAATCCATTTTCTGCCATGAATGTATTAACGACCTTAGAATTTAGATCACAGCATGTGAGTAAAGTGAAGTTAGCAGTATTGACATTTCTAACAATATATGTGTGTGTAGCGTCTTTGTCGGCATGTTGATGCCGTTGTCCGGGCTGTGACCGTCGCAGTGCCTATTCGACTTCTTGGAGCTTTGGATGTAGGCTGTGAACCAGTATAGTTCTGCATCCCAAATTCACCTGAGTTAAGCAGGGTGGACAGCTTGGCCGCAAAGGTAGTACCACTGACGATATGCCCATAATGATATATAATATAATATATGAAATAAATAACTTCCAAAATGTTTAAACCTGTTGAACTGCTTTAATTATGGCAATTCATCTCATAGTATTTCCCTGCATAAGCAAGTCTCTCAAACAAAGACACTACTACGCAGTTTAGTGATACAAAGAAAAAAGTCTTGGTCTGCCGTCTACTTAATAGCATTGATTAACATTAGTTTAATTATGAAATCTAGGAGGTCTAAAGTGTGAAATATATTCCAAGAAAGAAAGAAAACGTGATAGAACATAAAGTTCTTTATTTGACGGAGAAGTGATATCGATAGACGTGTGAATTCTTTAGAAAGACAATTTGTTCAAATTCACCCGAACGACTGGACTCGTATAATTATAACGCAAATTAAATTGCTAAGTACAGTGTTTCAATTTGGAAATTAGATATTAAAAAGGAATCTGTGGCAACTGAATAGAGCCAACGAACTAGGTTTGTATGCTTGAATAGAAGAGAAACACACAGAGAGAGAGAGAGAGAGAGAGAGAGAGAGAGAGAGAGAGAGAAAGAGAGGAATGAGGAAGGTAGGAAAGGAGAATGTAATATATATATATATATATATATATATATATATATATATATATATATATATATATATATATAGGGTGCAGTTCAATTTATATTACAAGCACCTGAGAAATTTTATTAAAGAAAATGCGTTCTCCGGCAGGATTCTAACTTGCTTATCCCTTTGCTGGAGAAGCCGTTATTAGATGCGATATCCATTGACCACTCGTCTGCAAAGTACTTCCTAATCAAGCGAGCTTCTATCTGCCTTTTATATCACACTTGTTCATATTCAATATTTACATCTTAGTATGGTATTTATTTAGTAGACAATAGTCATACACCTTTAACAAGGGACCAGGTGAGCGTTAGTGTAATTTTGTACCATATCTCAAATAGATTAGACATTTGTAATCTTGACTCTCTATGTGTTTGTTACAAGGAGGACAGTCACAAAAAAAGGTGCAAAGAAGCCATAAAGAAGACCATCGTCTTCTGTGGCATCGACAACCATCAGTGTACATCAAGCTGATGACTGGAAAAATAATCTCTCGATAATAATCTAGGTAACTTCTTCGTGTTTTATGTGATATTTTCTTTCAGGACAGGGAGGTTTCTGGCTCTCCACGACTTCCTATTCCTTATAGCTCTAATTGCCTACAGTTTTCCGTTTCTGTTTGTTTTTCAGTTTCTGATCCCCATTTAAATCTCGATGGTTACTTGACGTTTCTATCTTCTACTCTTGCCTTCAGTATCTCCTGTGAGTGTCAGATTCTCCAAGCTCCCTTTCTTCGTTATGTGACCCAGGGACTTTTAGGGTTCGTTCTGATTCTAAATGTTAGCGTTCTTTTATTTTCCTTAAAACTTTGTGAAAATTGCTCACCAAGGTTTTCTTTGGTATCATACATTTACAGAGACAAATCTGTTCGATTTTAGACTCATTTGTTTTTCTTAAAGCAACATCTTTCCGTTTTTTGGCGGGAGGTGGTTCGGCAATAAGATAAGAATCACTTAGCATACACAGCGACACACTACATAACAAGAGAAAAAACACATATACGCAAGTAATACTAATAGAGATGTGGATGTAAGTATAAGTGCATTTGCATGCATTCACACATCCGTATATAGAGTTGCATTTACAGAGACTTACGTTGCAGCTGTGGTTGTCATATCAGCAGTTGCCTCAGCACGCAAGAAGAATTATATGGAGATTATTCGTTTAATCATTCAGTGATATTGCAAATTTTATGGTCAGAGAACTTCTCGAAACAAATTTAAAATTATCTATCTATCTATCTATCTATCTATCTATCTAGTAGTGTGCACATTCAGGTTTATTTTAAGAGTAAGTGAATACATGTCCTTTTCTTTACGGATGAGTGAGCTTTCAAAGCGTCAGCGTAAATCAGTTTATGTTCGAAAGAATTTTAAATATGTACATATAATCATTCACATGCACACATAAATATATGCATATAGAGACATTTACATCTCTCTCTCTCTCTCTCTCTCTCTCTCTCTCTCTATATATATATATATATATATATATATATATATATATATATATATATATATATATATATATATGTGCACATACACATCTACATAGACTTATACGTATATTTTTTTTTGTAGGACTGTACTTGTTCATTTTCTCTTTAATACACGCTTTAAGCTGTTTCTTATGCAGTGTCAAAAACAGAACGTATTCATGTGTCGATTAAGTGAAATTCGAAATTTGAAAACTGATCCAATTTTTTTTCTACAATTTAATATTCATATTTATTAAGGATAATAAATTTTGATTGACATGCATTATTAACGATTAGAAGATTAATAAATGGCGAACGATAATGAAAACAGCGATTGTAAAAAAAATATTTTGTCGTATATTGTAATGAGAATAGTTTCAATGGAGGTAAAATTCAATTAAATTGTCATCCACTTCGTTTCGTTTTCAATGGGTTATTTAATGCCGACAAGATTTTTATTGCTGGTAATATTTTTTCCAAAAATGTATTGCTGATAATATTTTTTTTTTTTTTCAAAATCGTATTGCTGGTAATAGTTTTTCTTCAAAAATATATTGTTGGAAATATATTTTCCTTCAAAAATGTATTGCAGGTCATACTTTATTTTTTTCAATATATATTGCTGGTAATATTTTTTCCTTCAAAAATGTATTGCTGGTAATATTTTTTCTTCAAAAATGTATCACTGGTAATATTTTTTCTTCAAAAATGTATCACTGATAATGTTTTCTTAAAAAATGTATCACTGGTAATACTTTTTTCTTCAAAAATGTATTGCTAGTAATATTTTTCTCGAATAATGTATTGCTGGTAATACTTTTTTTCAAAAATGTATTACTTGTAATATTTTTTCTTCAAAAATGTATTGTTATTAATATATTTTTCTTCAAAAATTTATTGCTGGCAAAACTTTTTCTTCAAAAAATATTGCTGGCAATATTTTTTTCTTCAATAATGTATTACTGGTAATACTTTTTTTTCAGAAATGTAATACTGATAATATTTTTTCCTTCAAAAATATATTGCTGGTAATATTTTTTTTCTTTCAAAAATGTATTTTTGATATTGCTGGTAATAATTTTTCCTCAAAAAATTTATTGCCGGTATTAAAACCTATTTTTACACTTTCATAGTGTTTTGACCCCAGTTTGGGGGTAAACTATTTGCCCATAGTTGGGACCCTAACACGTGCTGTCACCGCGGATCAGGGTGGACCTGGGAACACCAGCAATTAAGAGGTGGTTCCACATTCCTCAAAACCTCCTGATCAGAGGCCTTGCTGTTGGAAGTAGTTTAACTAGTACGCGTATGTAGTTTATCGTCTTACCCAGGACGCGATTTGTTTCGTGTATTAATTAGAAATACTCTGAAATATTGTTTAGAAAATGTAATTCTTTATAACATTTTGTCTGTAACTTTGAAAAGAATCGCTAACATTCAAACATTTGATCGGAATTTGATTTCATTGATCGGAAATGTGAAGTTACTACCACAACGTTTCGGTTGATACTTACTGTGGTTTTCTTCAGGTGTAAAATCCATAAAGGAAAGAGAGGGATCGCTTTATCTCTTCCCTTCTATTTTTTCCTCATTTTTTGACAAAAATATAGGAAACGAGAAAAAATTAGTATACCGCTTCGTTTCATTCCAGCTTGCAATCTTAATATCAATTTTTATAAATTTAAAGAACCATTTTTACAAGATGTATGTATGTAATATATATCGAGTGATTAAAAAGTTCGCTTTCTGGACATATGTTGTGTAGAAAGACTACCGACCACCTCTACAAAAATTGTTGAAGATAGACTCGTTTACTTGCTATGAGTAGGAACGTCTGCTCATAGGAAGGGAGTCACAAAGTGGGCCGTAATGTGGGACTTACTGTTTAGCCGTAGGTATTTCTGCACGGAACTTCAGTATTCGCTTTTATTGTATTATCAACCCATGTCCCTCGTGTGATTAAACGTTTTCTTCATTAATCTTTTGTTCCAGAGGTTTCCTTAGAATATTATTAACTAAAGCTACGAGCATTATAACATCATGAGGCCTTGATTTGTGTTAGAACGAAGTCATAATAACCTAGGATTTAATTGTTCTGGATTTGATCACACCAGATTATGCACTCTCTCCTAGAAACTGTAACTAAGGTCCACGCAGCATGGATGCAATATTAAAAAAAACCGGTGGGCTCTGTGGATGCTTTACATAGAAATGTGACCAATTAGCTAGCCACCGTATCAGACGTACTCAGATGCAAGCAGCCATTCACACGATTATGACTGACGATTTGAGTGTTCTGATCTCGATCACACCAGATTATGCTCTCTCTCCTTGGTCCAATCAGCATAGTTGTCCTTTAAACTACAAGAGGACTATGTGGGTTAAGTAAGCGTCTGTAATAGGCAGACGACTATTATTGTTTTTTAAAATGATGTTCACCCTTTAAAAGTCCTAAAAGCCACTCACGGTAGAGATTAAGAGGCACAGCTGATAAGGATTTTGATATAATGGAATATGCATACATCTGAGTTCCCCCTCACTGGAATATGATTGGCTGGTGTCCGTCATAAATACAGACGGACGTGTAGGTACGACAGAGTTTAAGTCTATGACGACGCCCATTGGACTACGCCATTGGCTATCCTATTGGTCTACACCTATTGACTGCGACTACGACGAGTACCAGTCGATTACTGCTACCGTGTACTACTTGGTTACAGTAGCCAAGACCACTTAGCTACTTCGATCAAACATATCCCTTTCCGGGACATATCAGATTTGTGGGGGAGATGACGGTTAACTCTAGACTTGAATAGGTCAAGATTGTAGTAATCGGGGATAAATGGTCTTTGGAGTTGATTTCAGATAGCAGCCGTTCCTGGGACGAAGTTACTCAAGAGGAACTAATCCGATCAGTATGTATATATATATATGTATGTATGCAGATGATCCTGAATGGGAAACTACTGTTTGTGATTGGTATGGTGGCATACAATTTATGAAAGCAATAAGATCTTCCAAGAACATTCAGTGAATTGGGCAAATTTCAAATGTGTAGCTAGGAAAGGGGATATCATTGATCCACTAATCCATGGGATGAATGTGGCAGGGTATGTCTCACCAATGCACGTCTCATTAGTTACAGGAAGAATCATATTAGCAGACTTTTCAGAAATTATGATCAGTGCTACACTGGAAATAACTTAATATGCCGGGTGTATTAGAAAACCTACTGAAACCCCTCTGGTCTCACCCGTTTCATGAAAACCCACGAGCAAGCTGAACAGACCTTACAAAACAGGCCACGTTCTGTACAAAACACTTAGTTTTCCACATCTGCAATAAGCATTGCAAGTCACTTGCAGGCTGCAAGAGTTACAAAAACCAAAATCATTGATCGAACTTTCTTTAACGTGTCGACAGCCATCAATATGCGCGGAAACAATGATATACATGATTTATTGTTAAAGCGTGCGGTTAGCCCACTAATAGTAATGATAATAGTGATAAGTTATTCATCTAGGAAAAAGATAACTGATTTGACGACCACTTCGGTGCTAATTCAGATATTTCTCATTTGCTTTATGGGGTGGGGGGTTCTTAGCATTGTTCGTGTGGGTTATTACGGTGTTGCGAAAACTATCATCATCATTTATTCAGTTAGTCTATATTGCGTCGCTGTGATCATCACTACCCTCGTTGAAGTTTTGGTTCATTCAAGGCAAAATGCTGCAATGGCTTGCCGATTCCGTTTGTGCCACGTATGTTGAGGTTATACTGCCTTCATCTGAGAAGTTACTCCGCCTACTGAAAAAGACGCTGACCCCTGAGGTGCAGCTCCTACACCAAGATTGGCGACTGGTCGATGGCCACGTTTGGGAGAAGCGGTAATATTCACCGGTTAGGCCAGGAAACCCTTCCGTCTACCCTCTCACAGTTTGGCTGGCAGGTCGATTCCGTTGACTGGGAATCGCAGTGCACATGCGTCTTCTTGGAGATATGTGGGAGTTGGATTTAGGCCGCAGATTAGTATAGTTTCGTATTCTAATTCAACTGAGTAAAGCAGAGTGCATGGGATTGTATCTGAGCAAAACATAGGTTTATGGGATTAGCGTCAGTGGTACTACCACTGACTTACACAAACACATCTACGCTACATAAACACAATATAATAAAACACTTATATATAAACATAATATATAATATATAATATTTATATATAAACATAATATATATTTTGCACTGGATGTTGGAGTAAACAGTTTGTCATCAAATGCATCACTTATTATTATTATTATTATTATTACTTTAAATGACAATAACAGAAAGCAATCAATAAATCAAAACAGAATCAAAGTATAAAATTAACATCAAATGTATGAGAACATTTTTGCATAGATTGTTAAAAATATTTGAAAGATAAATATTAGAGGAAGAAATTGACTATTTTGAACCAATAGTAAAAAAGTGAACAAAATAATGCTACGACTCGAAACACTGTTCCTGCAAATTTAAAAATACGTCATCGTTCATATATAAATTGCGTTACATTCAATAAAATTATCGTCAAATGTTGTTAAAAAATGTTTGAATGATAAGGAAAGAAGTCAACGATACTGAACCAATAGTCAACGATAAACAAAACAAATATTACGACTCAAAATGCTTTCTCTACAATTTCAAAAATTACATCCTGTTTCGTAAAAGAAGAAATGATTCGCTTAAACATAAAAAGAGTTGATTTATTTATTCTTAATAAAGTAAACTTGCTAAATAACACCTATTTTAAAAATAAAACAATCGATGAATAACTCTATCTTAATAAAATAAACAAATATGACTTTTAATAACTAAAGATTATAAATGCATACTATAAAAATATGCATAATAAAAAATTATAATATAAGAAACAAAGAAAAGTATAAGAGCAAAATGCATAATAAAATAATGAAGACTACACTTTTAAAATAAGACATCGCTTTCTTTGAGCAATGAAAAAACACGTCCGTTCACTCAGACGCCAGTGAAAGTTATACATGATTATAAACTTAGCGCGGGCTTTGCTGACCTCTTAACATCTTGTCAGCGATGGTCATACCCGTTTAACAAGTCGACAGCCATCATGTATGTATGTAACATGCATTTATGTGTCTTAGGTATAGTCTACTTTGGGAGTACTCTCGCTAAAGATAGATTTTTGGATCCCGAAGCCAATGTTAGAATCGAGAAAGCTGACAGAGCCTTAGGTAAATTAGAAAAATGTGTCTAGTCAGAGAGAGATATCTCACTCGATACTAAGATCAGTGTCTACCAAACGTGTGTTCTGACTGCTCACCAGAGACAGACATGGACTATATATCACCATCCTGTCAAAACTTTTGAATAATTGAATCAAAAGTGCCTTGAGCATATCTTAAAAATCAAGGGACATCCTTTTACACCAGACACAGTTTTTCTACAATGAGCTAAAACACCCAGCATAAACAGACTGTGCTGGGCAGGGTACTTCAGAAGAATGGAAGATGAGAGGAATACTTGTTTTACTGTAAGTTCGTTCTTGGTAAAGCATCTTAGACACAAATTCAAGAAACGTTTCGAGAATGTTATTAAAGACAACATGAAAACTCTGGAAATTAGTATCAAGGGAAAAGAGGCAGAGAAGGGTTAGGTTTTGATGGTTGCAATAGTTTTGAGGTCCAAAAATTTGAGCATCTGGAAATGAAAAGAGCTCTTAGGAAATGTAATGCAGAAGATATTCAATATCTGTCTCTCTGAGATGAGTTATTATGATTACTTGCATTATTTTCATTATTCGGACTGTTATCCTCATCTTAATTGCCATATTCACAACGTTTCGGATTTCTTCAGGTGATTGGAATAACGAACCGAACCCTTTATTTCGTCCATGGGAGTAGATTGTTCTAGTTCCACGTGCCATGCCTCTTCCGGATGTCTCAGTTATTTCCTTTTAACTCAAATCTCTAAATTGTTTCGTTCACAACTGCTAGGCCACAAAAATCTCCTGAGCCGACTACGCATAGAAATGAATAAGATATGGGAACCAGTAATAAGGAGTGCCAGAGAAAAGCAATGAATAACAACACAAAATTGCAATACAAGCTCTGGTATAAAAATGCAATAATAATGACAAAAAATGCAATATGAGCACTGGAAAAATATGATTGCTGAGATATTAGGTTTATAAGACACAAAATTTCATACACCGATATCCTTAAGGACACATGGCCCAATGGATAAAGGCGTTGGTTAGATCCAGTGACTAGACCTAAAGAGTTGTAAGTTCAATACCAAAACTTGGAGAGTTGAGTTAAAGGGAAATAACTAAAGAGAAATAACGGAAGAGGCATGGCACGTGGAAATAGAACAACCTACCCCGGTGGATGAAATAAAGGGTTCGGTTCGACATTTAAATCATCTATAAAAGGCCGAAGCATACACCGACCGAAACGTTGTGGACATGGCAATGAAGTTGAGGATAACAGTCCGAATAATGTAAATAATGCAAGAAGATATTCAATTTGAGTTTGTAACTAACATCTGTTGGAAGGTTGTTGTATTTATTGCCGGATTTGATAGTCATGTCAGATCACACGAAAATCTAATATCCTTCCTGACAGACCTGAAGGACACATGTCTGTTTCGTGATAAAATTTGCATGTCTGATACCAGCTTGAAGCAACACATGAGAAAGTGACTTTCAAGACTCTCCAAAACGGTATGCAGGAGAGAGGCTGGTTTGCAAAAGTCATCTGTAGGCCTATGACCGCTCAGCTCAACATTGAAGATATGGCCTTCTATAAAGAAGTGGCAGTTATGTAGCATGTATGTATGCATCTTCCCATTAAATATAGCTGGATTTTTCTCTTTGATATGTATTCAATTAATTAAAATTCTAAAATGTATTAGTACTGCTGTTGACTGACATAACATTTTCTGTTTGTCACTGCCCCTGTCTCTCTCTTTCTCCCCTCTCTCTTTCGCAGACCTTTTTTTCTTTATCTTAAACAGATACTAAAAATACATTTTCTGAGGAAAGTCAACTTTCATTTCAAAATCATTTAAAAAGATTTGCAGAATATTAAGATGTGCAGATATTTCAGGTCAGCAATTATGTCTTGCACTTTTTTGAATGGAGACAGACAAGGTTAGTCTTGTTGTTCTTCTTCTTGTTCCATGTGCAGTATCCCTTGAGAGCGTATGCGATTATGGCACTCCCCAATTTTTATCCTTTGTAGCTCTTTAAAATTTTTAACTTTTTTGTTGTTTCTCTTCTGTTCCGCCATCTATTCACTCAAACTCGCTAGTTAAGTTATGTGCTGTTTTCCTTTGTCCATCTAGCCTTCAATCTGCCCTGTGAGTATCAAATTTTTCAAACTCTCTTTCTTCATTATGTGTCTTAAAAATGTCAACTGTCTATTCTTGATGTTAAATATAAGTGTTCTTTTTGTTTCCATTTTCTCTAAAACTTCGTTGTTACTTATATGTTCGCTACAAGTTATTCACAGTATCCTTCTGTAGAGCCACATGGGTATTGCTTCAAGTGACGTCTTCATCTGTGTGGAGATTGTCCAGCATTCACTGCCATATAGGAAGACTTATATCACATTACTGTTCAGTAATCTTGTCTATTTCTAACGAAATTTTCCTTTTTGCTTAGCTTGTGGAAGGCATCTTTCGCTATCCCTATGCACTTTTGGATTTCAGTTTCACTCTTTCCGTTCTCTATTAAAACACCTACCATATATTCAAACTGTTGTACTTGTACCTTTGAAAACAGGCTCCATTAATAGGAATGTCGTCCAGTTTAGACAAGATTGAAGATCAATTAAGTAAATTAAGAGAAAAATGAAAATAAATAATGAGAAAATTAGTTGGCTAAAAATCTGAAGTAATAGTGAATTAGTGAAAGAAATGGTATTAATCATTTTGCGTACAGTCGCAAGTGCAAAATTAACATATTGGTAAATGATTATCGAACTGTACAAAAGTGATATAGCTTACATTGTTCTTTCGTATATCACTAAATTTATTTTAGTCTTTCCTTTTCATGTATGTATGGGGATTATTGTATCCAAATGCATATCTATCTATCTATCTATCTATCTATCTATCTATCTATCTATCTATCTGCACATGTATTTGTTATGTTCCGACAACCCTCGTTGGAACTGTTATGTTAGTGTGAGTTCGTTTCAAACATCCTCACGCCACTGTTATATTGGTGTGAGTTCGTTTATCGTATCCACGTCGTTACTGTTATGTTCCGGCAATCCTCGTCGGAACTATTATATTCCGTGCTAAGGGAAAAAATAAGTAACACCAGGTGGCTACTAGAAGAAAGGTTTATTGTACACAACAAATAAAATATGAAATACAGTACAGTTATAGACACAGGTCAATCTAGTAGTGAGTGCTACTAATTGGAAGGTCGGACGTGCTTGCGTCTTCTCTCTCTCACTTTCTCGATATTTACTTGATCCCCCACCGAATCAGGTTGTGACACAAGGTCAGTTTTTACCGTGGGGACCCGAATGTTTTCACTCGGGCCGCTGGTCCAATCTGGTCTTAGCTGGTCGTAGCCTGTCCAAGCTGGTCATAGCTGGTCTAAGCTAGTCATAGCTGGTCTTAGCTGGTCATAGCTTGTCCAAGCTGGTCAGAGCTGGTCTAAGCTAGTCATAGCTGGTCTTAGCATGCCCAAGCTGGTCCAGGCCGAAGCCGGTCCAAGCTAGTCCTAGCCGTAATACCACCAGCCCAGGGGCGAGCCCTGTGCCAGGTAGGTATTTGACAGAGCATACTTAAAGGTATGATCTGTACACTTTCTCCCTCGTCTTCGAAGTCCCTTGTAGACAGTTGACTTTATAGGTACTTACTACCTATAGTGTAATCATCCATGGGGGTGCCAGGTTATTCCATTACATCAGTATTGTAATTCGACTTTTTAATCTAAATAAATTTTGATCAACATTAAGATAATATAGTTATGGATAACTGAAAGTTCGCGTTACGCCTACCGACACTCTATTAGGAATAATTATACTTAACTTTCTGTGATATTTTCATTTCTTATGATTTTAGTTTATTTTTCCCAGTTTTGGGTGTTAGAGTCGTTAGGTGTTAGTGGTTTAATGGTTAGCGATTCGGACTAAGAAATTGGAAAGTCGGATTCGTCACTTTCATTTACTCTCAAATATCCCTTGGAAAAGGTATGGATCTTCCAACTAAATAGTAGAACTTGTATATGGAAAAATTGACGTTATTCTAAAAAATAAATGCAATATTAATTCGCATAAAAATGAAATAATTCTTAAAATCCCAAATATTTTTTTCGGTTTTAAATAAACTACAAATAGTTGATGAGCAACACAAACAATCAAATAACAATCCTTATATATATATATATATATATATATATATATATATATATATATATATATATATATATATATATATATGTGTGTGTGTGTGTGTGTGTGTGCAAATATCTAAAAAATAGGAAAAGAACACGTTAGGTAAATAATCCGGGGTTCTTTAGTATTTTTGTTTTTATTTTTTAAAAACAGTGCTCCATGCAAAAGTAGAGCTATAATTATAATTATTTAAAAAAAAAGATATGATTCCTTCGCTACATAAGAGTTCTCATGTATCAAGCCCTATTTTATCCTCAAGCGAAAATTTAGGATTCCTAAATTTTCGCATGAGGATGAAACAGGGCTTGATACTTTAATTCAATTTAATTTCAATAATTATATTGAAGTTTTTTTTCCCTTGTTTTTGAAACAAGAGAACTCATATGTAGCGAAGGAATCATAATTTAAAAAAATATTTATAATATATATATATATATATATATATATTATAAATATATATGAGGGAAAGAACAGATGGGTTAAAAATCCACAGTCTGTAGCATTTATTTATTTTTTTTAAAGTGCTCAGTACAAAGTAGAGAAAAATATTCTTATAATATTTTTATTAAAATAAATTACAATAAAAACATTTTACATTGCTACACAAAAATGGCGATGGTATATAACTAATGATAAAAAATGATTTATTAGGAAAAAATAAAAAAAAAAACTAATCTTTACCTCTTTTCGTAAGTTAAATGTCGGGGCATAAGGTCAGAATAAAAATTTAATGTGCTCCCCCTCTTTAACTTATGAAAATAGGTAAAGATTTGTTTTTAAACACCGAAAACATGAAAGTCTTTGTGTAGCGATGTAAAATGTTTTTATTTTAATTTATTATAATAAAAACATTATAATATATATATATATATATATATATATATGTATATGAGCATAATAGTGCTATACATATATAGAAAGAAAAGATTAAAATAGATTGAGTGTGGGAGGAATGCTATTTTGGTACGATGTTATCAACTGATAAACATGCAATCCATCAATCAAGTGCGGTTGATTGCACCAAGCGGAAATGGATCTCCGTATTTATTCAGGACAAGGTAGAATTGGTCTATATTTCTGAGATGAGGTATTACAACTATTTACGTTATTTACATTGTTCGGACTGCTGTCCTCATCTTTATTGCCACATTCACGACGTTTCGGCAGTTGTACACCTCGACCTTCTTCAAAAGATATTTGTTGGAATTTCGAACCGAATCCTTTATTTGATCCACCGGGGTTGTTATCAAGGGGAATTAGCTAAAAACTGATATTTTTCTGTGTTGATGAGCCATTGGACAAGGAATAACTGCAAAATATGAAAATACTGAAATTCTACACCATAAAAAATAAAAGAATAGGAAAACTTGTACGAGTCAAAAAAAAGAAAAAGAAAAAAAGAAATTGAAAGATGTCAAGACGCCTGGCGTCAACGATTAATGTTAGAATGGCCACGACACAGTGGGGTAGTCGAATTTTGACAGCTTACCCTAACATTGTGACCTCATTTACCCCCGTAAATAGGTAATCCAATGGTACAAAGCAAAGGAAACATGACGTTAAACTATAGGACTTACACATGATTGCAGTTTATTTCATGATTCAGTTTCATCATATAGATGTATTACCCATTATATATATATATATATATATATATATATATATATATATATATATATATATATATAGCTACTATATTTCCTAACATTTCCTCCCTTCTAACTCTTTAAATGTCGAATGTATAATTAATTCTAATTTCTATATTTCCCCTCTTTACACTGTATTAATTATGATTTATCAATTTTCCCCTCCTCTAAGAACTCTTTCCTTTAATCACTTACATCCCTTTATCCATATATTTTAAAGTTATTTTTATATCCCCATTATTCCTCTCTGAGTTGTAAATTAATATTTCATTCTTCATATAACTCCAAATTAATGTCACAATGTTAATATCCAGGTTTAATTTTATAAAACTTCTTCCCTTTAAGACAAATACGTTCCATCCTCCCCTGACTGAATGAATAAATAAGTGTTATTTTTTCGATCGTTTTTTTTTAGCTTTCACAGTTAAATTTCTATTTCTGACACGATCTCAGGGATTCAAAGTAAATAGTTTTTGAATTACAGGTGTCCAATATTATTAATAAGCGATGTGGAATTTAAACTTGAACCCGTTAAGATTAATAATGTAAATTAGTTATAGATTTATAGATTGTGGGTAATACCAGAGCACCAGTGGAATAAATCATGCTGTCCAACACACTTATTTGCGTACATATCTTCATACATACATATATGTACATTTACATGACCATACATATATGCCACTATACGCACACGTACACCCCCACATTAATGCACATCTATTCTTATGTAATTTGTAATTTATTTCTATGTCTACCTCAACGCCATAGAAAACATATGGAGCATTATAAAGTACATGCTCCATAAGTTTTCTATGTGGCTGAGGTCAGGAGATTGGGGTGCCCATATCATAACACTCACCTGCTTCTCATCAAAGTATTCCTTCATCAATTTTGATTTGTGACAGGGAGCATTATCCTGCATAAAAAAATGAGCTTGGTGGGGTTGATTTGCACCCTTTCAGCAGAAGGGAGCAGACAAGACTCTAAAATTCTCTTGTACTGCTCGTTCCTGAGGGTCTTTTCAATAGGTTTTAAGAAACCAGTTCTATGAAAATAAAAGCATCCCCAGAACGTTATACTGAATGGATGCTTGACAGGACTTACTGCTAAATTCAAAGAGCATTCAAAGCTTCTTTTTCAGATTTTAGATCGTTTATCCTTTGAATTTAGCTCAACTTTCGTTTCATCGGAGAAGAGAACATTTAGTAAAAAAAATCAGGTGAGTCACTTTTATCGAACAGCACTACATATATATATATATATATATATATATATATATATATATGATAAAGTGGAAAAGGTTTTTGTAGGACGCATTACAGTCTTCAGGATTCTAAGCTTATGTTTACGTTGATGTGACTACACATGCGCACGAACGAGAGACGCTGGGAATTTCAAATTTAAAAAAATATTTTTACTTACATTATTTACATTATTGGGACTGTTATCTTCATCTTCATTGCTATATTCAAACGTTTCAGCCGTTGTACTCTCCGGCCTTCTTCAGATGATTGGAATTTCGACGAACCCTTTATTTCGTCCACCGGGGTAGATTGTTCTAGGTCCACGTGCTATGCCACTTCCGGATATCTCAGTTATTTCCTTTTAACTCAACTTTACAAGTTTTGGTTCACCACTGCTGTGGTATTGAACTCACAACGATTTGGGTCTAGTCACTGGATCTAACTAACATTTTTTTCCATCGGGCTATGTGGATAAACGTTGTGAATATGGCAGTGAAGATGAGGATAACAGTCTGAATAATACATCATAATACCTCATCTCAGAAATATAGAAATATATTTTTAATATGTGTTATGGGCCGATTTCATTTAGATCTTTTTTCTTTTTATTTTATGTTTCCACCATTTTTTTAATTAAATATTCCACATTGTAATAATAGAACATCCGCTAAAATGGTGAAACGTAAGAACTTGGACTCAAATTTACTGTTTATGATCTTGTGATTATAGCATTTTCTAAACATTTTCGTCTTCGTAAATTGCTTTCTTTTTTAATTTGATTCACATTATTTAAATAAAAAAAATAGCGGTCAGTCTCGTTACGGTGAGCAAATAA